CAGTTTGACATCGACCCAACCCTGCCTACCCCAACAACGACGGCAACTCGGTGACCTTCTTGCCGAGTTCAATGACTGTTTCTCCACGTCGTCAATGGTGCGCCAAACGACCGTTGCGAAACATTGAATTGTCACTGAAGACAGCGCGCTTCCTGTTCATCGGTCACCGTACCGTGTTTTTGTAAATGAGAGAGAAATCATCCAGAAGCAGGTCCAAGAAATGCTCGACGACGACATTGTCCAGCCCTCAAGCAGCTCGTGGGCCTCACCGGTAGTCCTTGTGAAAAAGAAAGACGGGACCCTTCGGTTCTGCGTGGACTATCGCCGACTGAACGCTGTAACAAAAAAGGACGTCTACCCGCTGCCACGCATCGACGACACCCTGGACTGGCTGCGCCACGCCCGATACTTTTCGTCAATGGACCTGAAGAGTGGGTACTGGCAGATCGAGGTCGACGAACGAGATCGTGAAAAGACTGCCTTCGTCATGCCGGATGGGCTGTACGAATTCAAAGTGATGCCGTTCGGTCTATGCACAGCACCGGCGACGTTCCAGCGCGTAATGGACACCGTCCTTTCCGGCTTGAAATGGCAAAGTTGTCTCGTCTATCTCGACGACGTCCTGGTATTCGCCAGCGACTTTGACGAGCACCTCAGAGGTTTGCGAGCCGTGCTACAGGTTATCCAGAATGCCGGAGTGACACTGAAGCCGTCATAATGTCGGTTTCCTTACGGTGAGCTCAAATTCCTGGGCCATGTCGTGAGTGCTCAAGCTGTAAGTCCTGACCCTGCAAAGACATCCGCTGTCGCCGACTTTCCGAAGCCATCAGACAAGAAAGTTGTACGAAGATTTCTTGGGCTGTACGCATACTACAGACGTTTCGTTCGCGATTTTGCCATGATTTCTGCACCGCTCACGCACCTGACAAAGGACGACGTGAACTTCCAGTGGGGGGAGGAGCAAGAACAAGCGCTCAACGAACTGAAGGAAAGACTCCAGTCGCCCCCTATACTCGGACACTTCGATCCATCAGCGGAAACGGAAGTTTACACAGACGCCAGCTACGCCGGGCTAGGTGCGGCGCTCGTCCAAAGACAAGACGGAGCAGAGAGGGTGATCGCTTACGCAAGCCGGGCGCTGTCCAAGACAGAGAAAAATTACTCGACAACCGACAAGGAATGTCTCGTTGTTGTCTGGGCGTTAACAAAGTTCCGCCCATACCTGCACGGGATCCCGTTCCGCGTTGTCACGGACCACCACGCTCTCTGCTGACTCGCCAACCTCAAGGACCCGTCAGGACGCCTCGCTCGCTGGAGCCTTCGACTGCAAGAATTCGACGTGACCATTGTGCATATAAGTCTGGCCGCAAGCATAACGACGCCGATTGTTTGTCTAGGGCCCCAGTCAAATCTTCTCTCGACAGCACCGACGACGATGATGACGCCCGTTTTCTCGGAGCAATTACAGATACCTACATGGGAGCACTTCAACGAGACAACCCCGAACTTCGCGCCGTGATCGACCACCTCGAAGGTCAAGGAAGCTCAGTTCCGCGAGTCTTGGCCCGAGACATGCCAAGCTTCGTTCTGCGGCGAGGCGTGCTCTTCAAGAAGAACTTCGGAACGAGCAACCCTGCCTGGCTGCTGGTTGTTCCGGTCAGCCTGCGTGAAGAAATCTTTGAAGCACGCCATGACGACCCGATGGCTGGACACCTTGGCTACAGCAGGACGCTCGCCCGGATTCGTGACAAGCAGGGATGGGCAAAATACATGCAAATATGTATCGAAATACAAATACAAAATACATCGTCAAAAATGTATTTAATTACAAATCTAATTACATTTCCAAAAAAGCATTTAAGTACAAGATACAAATACAACCAAATGTATTTGGTCTCCTCCAAATACTTTTCCAAATACGTTCCTCAAAATCTGCGTCAGCGACTTCAGGGCACCTGCAACGGGTTTCTGGGTATCACATTTTAATTTTGCATCGCACACTCGGGAGTTAGGATGCGAGGCTCTAGTAACGTAATAGAAATATAATCACAAAAAAATGTAATCAGCTTGGACTTAAAAAGTGAAACAAGTACAGAGTTCAAGTAGCTCTTTTTGTCGATTACATTTTGGTATAGACCACCAAAGAACCGAGACGACCAAGACGCGCAGCACTAGCTAGAGAATTTTTTATTGTAACAACTCGCACCAGTTACGAAAATCTGGACAACCCGCGCTTTTAGAATGTTCCAGGCAAAAATATGGAGGGAGATCAGGCTGGAAAGCATCAGAAGTTGTCACAGGCACTTATTTAGCCAGTCTGCCCGTGAACGTCGATTTCGTCACTACTCTTGCCCTGGACTAGCACCATAATCAGTCACTAAACGCTTGTGCTTGATTGAGAGACACTGCATTCGGTGCAGAACATAGTTTTCTTCCTGCTCTGGACAGTGACAATAAATTTGAGGGATGTATTTTCACCCACAAAATTGTATTTAATTACTATTGTATTTGAAATACCCACATTTTAGTATTCAAATACACATGTCAAATACATTACCCGATTTGTAATTAAATACAAATGCCAAATACACAAAGTATTTGAAATACGTATTTCAAATACTTGTATTTGATATAGTGCCCATCCCTGGTGACAAGTATTACTGGCCGAGACTCCCGAAAACAGTCCACCTGCACACACGGTCGTGCCGTGAGCATAGAGTAACCTACACAAGGGAAAGAGTGGCCACTCGAGCCGTTTCGCGGCCGAGCGTTTAGTTTTCTCACCGACCGCTAAGTGGTGCAAGTGTGCCAAAGAATGAAAATATTTCGTGAGGTTTGTTATAAATAAATACTCAAGTTTTAATTTTATTATATTTAAAATTGTTGCAAGTATCATAAAGGGTGAAGTAGTTTTTGTTTACTACGTCAAGAAGATCACGTGATGTACGGGCCAGTTCCGGTTCCTGCAGTTGCTCTGAGAAAGCGGCTGGAGTTAAAGCGGGACGGACGGACGGACGGACGCGTGCGTGCGTGGACGGCGTGACCGCATGGTGCCTGACATCTGTCAACGCGTTTTGTGTTGAGCACATGTGAGCACTGCGAGCAAAATGTGAGCACAACGTGGATATTGTCTGCGCCTAACAGGTTTCTTCAGAAGGTAAGACGTTTTCTCATTTCTTTGTTATTGCTTAGTCGCGAGCAAAACACGGCGTGCGCATACAAGGGCAAGAGAAAAAAGCGAACTGTATCGTGTCCGTTGGTTTTACTCGTTATTTGCATGCTCAGAGGTCCAACAGACGCTGCGAAATAAACCTCAGACAGCAGCCGGTTTTTCCCGTATGTGTTATTATTGTTACATGGGCTGCGCTATCGTACTAAGAGCTACGAATATTTGTGTTTATATCTTACATTTTTTTCTTTCTCAGATGCCCTCCGGTTGCTACTACGGTAGCTACTGCTGTGTCGCATGGTGCGAAAACAATGGTAAAACGCACAAGAAACCCGGCACAAAATTTTTCCGAATCCCACGTGACGCAAGGTAGGTTGGCGTGAGCACCTTCTTGTCAATAGTTCCTTGGAACCATTTGCATACTTGAGCATATAAAAAAATCCCAATATTTTTATTTTTCTTCACAATATAATTAATTACTAGAATGCGCTTTTAAATCAAGCGCTAAAGTTGACTGGATGCCTTAACTGTAATGTGGGGATTTGGGCTAAGCGATCTCAGGTCAGTTATACTAATTTTAGTACTGACTTACCACTTTGTCTTTGAAGATAAAAACTGACAAATTAATCTTGTATGACAAAATTGTTAAGGAAAAGAAGCAGCCCTTGATTTGTCTCACACATAGCTTGAATGTATCGCTTTTAATGTGGCTCTAAATTGGGGTTATAAATGTGGTGCTTCATGGTGGGGTGAATTTTCGTGTTTTTTTAATGTGGCTCTAAATTTGAGTTATAAAAGCGCTGCTTCATGGTGGGGTGAATATTGCTCTCTACTGATACTGTCTTTTCCTAAAGAAATGTGAATGTGCACCTGCTGTTAATTAGCTATAAAATGACCTGTTGTTGGACGAGTTGGTGAACGTTAGAAATCATGTTTTTTGTGCGAAAGGACAACCGCAAGGGTGGACAACAAGCACAAGCGCGCTTGTGCTTGTTGTACTCCCTTCTGTTCGTCCTCTCGTGCAAAAACCATGATTTCTTAGTTGAGCTACTTTTGCACTACTCTGGAGCAGGAGCCCAAATTTGTCTGTGTGCGTTGAGACATCCAAAGCAATCCTGCCAAATAAAAATATGTCCCCATCGCATGCAAGCGGAGCCAAAATGTCGAAGCGAGGGTTGCAGATTGGCATCTAACATTTTGTTCCAAAGTGTACATTTAACACATTGGAAAATAATATATATTCCAGGTCAAAGGCTTGGCTCGACTATGCCAAGAGGTACGATCTTCTTGGAAAGTCTGCTTCGCAACTCTATGCCACCTATCGTGTCTGCAGTGATCACTTCACTGCAAAAGATTTTATGGACCCAGGGCAAACAACCCTAGTGCGATCAGCTGTGCCTACTGTTCGTCCTCCCATAAACTGGGCATCTGCAATAGGTGATTGTAATAATGTGTTTCCCTCATATACACAAAGGTATAAGTAACTTTTCTATGTAGGCTAATAAGCCCATTCTTCCAGGTTCCACTCAGGCAACCAGCTCATCTGGCCCTTCACTCCAGTGCAGCTCCGTCGCAGCGAGCCGTGCTGTGCTTGGTAAGAGGTTATCTCGTCATGGTGCACTTCTGTGTCTAATAATGAAACCTTTCCAGACCAGGCAGAGCCCGACAGACTGCAGAATTCCACACTCCCATGCAGCTTCGCAGTAATACACTCTGCAGTACTCGGTAATATAGAGTTATTTTAAAGCACCAGCCTGTGCCTAATATGCGCACTCTTCCAGGTCCCACTCAGGCAACCAGCTCGTCTGGCCCTTCACTCCAGTGCAGCTCCGTCGCAGCGAGCCGTGCTGTGCTTGGTAAGAGGTTATCTCGTCATGGTGCACTTCTGTGTCTAATAATGAAACCTTTCCAGACCAGGCAGAGCCCGACAGACTGCAGAATTCCCCACTCCCATGCAGCTCCGCAGTAATACACTCTGCAGTACTCGGTAATATAGAGTTATTTTGAAGCACCAGCCTGTGCCTAATATGCGCACTCTTCCAGACCCAAGTCAGGCAACCAGCTCTTCTGGTCTTTTCGCTGGCCACTGTGGTCCAGGTCAACACTGTAAGTGTCCCGTTTTGCTTTCGCCACTTTCTGAAACATATTTGTGTGAACCTCTATAGCCAGTAGATAATACAATATGTCCCAGAAGGATCAGTTTAAAGAATTCTAGGTCCCTTTATAAGCTATAGTCTTTGCTTCGTGTGTGTGGCATACCGATCTAACCATTTGTATTACTAATGACTGGGGAGGTGTGGGAAAATGGAACACACATGTCAAGCGGAGGTTTCAAGAGAAATTTTCATGCTATTTCAGCCTTTCGAACTTGCAAGGTTATCAAGGATTTTATGTGAAGACATTTAGTGCAGAACATTTTACATGACTAGTAAAAGAATAACGTAATTGGTGGTCAGAAGTTTCACTGGCTTTGACAGTGCTTAAAAGGTAAAGCACAAGAAGAAAATTCAGGCTTCACTCAACACCTTACCTGGTATGCTACTGCTTAGTGGTGCTTGTACTGGTTAAATCGTATCGCACTTATCGGAACTGTTTTTAATCTCACTGACTTGTTGCCATTTTTATAGCTGGTCCAAACCATCCTGCACCTGTTTGCCGCAAGCTCACGAAAAGTCCCGAGGACGTTATTAAGCGACTCCAGGCAAGAATTTCCAGCTACAGAAAGACGATAGCCAGACTGCGGAAACAGCAGCTGAAGACTCCTCAAACAGCTTCTCAAGCTCTGGAAATAATTCGGCCTCATGTTTCTGAAGAGGTATTTCACCTCATATCATCGCATATAAAGAATAGGTCGAAGGGCAAGGGGAAGCGATTTCCACTGTGGCTGAAGAAATTCGCGCTCCATCTGAATTTTCATGGACCGCGGGCATACCGATTTATGTGTTCAGTGTTCATGCTACCATCTCGGCGTTCACTACGAAGGTGGCTCGCCAATGTCAAAATGACGCCAGGTATCATTCCAGGCATAATGTCATCGATTGCGTCAAAAACAAAGTCATGGAATGAACGCGACCGCATTTGTACTTTAGTGTTTGACGAGATGATATTGAAGAAGAACTTGTCATACGATGTGGCGCAGGATGTTGTCCTCGGATTTGCAGATGATGGTGTTGAGCGAACTTCCAGTATTGCTGACAGAGCCCAGGTTTTCCTCCTCTCTGGAGTTTCTAGGAGGTGGGTGCAACCTGTAGCATACACTATTGGGCATACGTCAACACCATCCTCTGTAACTCGTAACCTGCTTATGTCATTGATTGAGCAGCTGAAGGACATTGGCATTACTATCAAAGCAGTGGTCTGTGACCAGGGTGCCTCCAACGTAAGTTTGGGGCATCAACTTGGAGTGTCTGTTGAGCAGCCATTCTTCAAAGTAAGAAATGAAAGTGTCTATTTTATTTTGATGTCCCGCACCTGATAAAGACCACCCGTAACAACCTGCAAGCCGACAAGCTTCACATCGGGAGTGAAACTGTAGACTGGAACTACATTGTGCAACTTTACCACTCCACGCACGAGATGCGACTACGATTAGCCCCGAAACTGACAGACCGGCATATTTACCAGAAACCTTTCAGTAACATGAAGGTGAAACGTGCGACTCAGGTCCTCAGTTCATCAGTATGCGTTGCACTTTTGGCTCTTGTGTATGCCAGACAGCTCCCTGAGGCGGCCATGTCCACCGCATACTTTTGTGACCGCATAGACAAACTTTTTGACTGTCTTAACAGCTCGAGACCAAAAAAATCTGAACAAAAGTTACGCTATGCGATTAGAAAGGGCGACACTGAAATCGTTGATTTCCTTTGCAACCAACTTCCATTGGTGGCAGCCTAGAAGTTTGAGGGTAGACGGCAGCCACAAACAGTCACTGGGTGGCAGGTTACTGTCAGGGCCGTCCTCATGCTCTGGGAGAATATTTCTGAGAAATATAACTTCAGCTTTCTTTTGACACGGCGACTGCAGCAAGATGCCCTCGAAAATATTTTTGGGCAGATGAGGCAACAACACGGCTGCAACACCAATCCTAATGTGTATCAGTTTACTTGTGGACTGAGGCACATTGGGATTAGGAAGCTCCTAAAACTCTCGGAAAAGGGAAATGTTGAAGATGACAACGCTAACCTCCTTCAGGAGATGTCCCCGTTTTCACTAGAGACAACCTCAATCGCTGATGCCGTAGAATGTGCCCCCGTGGACGACTTCCCTCCATTGGACGATATTTCGGAACTTGCATCAAGTAAAGACTCTAACATAATAGACGACTCTGCTACCTATTACGTTGCAGGATTTCTAATCAAGCTGTTCCTGGAAAAAAGTTCACAGGGTTGTCTCTGTTCTGGGTCACTGAGGGAAGGGTCTGACAACTTGAACTGGCCCCACCAATATTTTACGATGCTTAAAGCCTTTCATGTTCCAGGAAAGATGTTCGGCAACTTAACTGTGCCTTCGGAGGCTGCTTTCACTTACATTCAGAGCCTGGAATCTCACTTTATGTGTGTTATAGAAAGCGTAGCACACCTGCGCAATGTCTGTGATGTTTTGTATCACCATCTGTCGCGTATTCGTTTTTTGCATTTATGCTCCGAGGAGTGTCAGCGGAGGTTTTTGAAGATGTTTTGCAGGGTGCGGTTGTGCTGGCATGTGCGCTTTATTAATCGAAACCTGGAAAAAGTTCGGTTTGATTCTTCTGTTGCTGGCGCTCAACTCGACAAGTTCAGAGCTTAGTATGGTATGGTGTTTCAGACGTCTATGAAAGAAGGATTTTTAATTGGGTTGTGCAGTTTGCATGCCGATTATATTTCTGGCTTTTTTGCAACTTTATAATACAGGACATAGTTTTTTTTATATACGGGATGAGGACGTTTTATAGCAAAGTGATCTTTGATGGGTGCGTGCGTGGAGTATATGCCGAACATGTCCGATATGTTAATGTTTTAATCAATGTGCCTTGTATATTGAGCAAATGTTGTATGATTACTTTGGTAACAGATTTTTTTGTATATTTTTATTACCTAACACTGTTAGGTGGTTTTACCTTAGCTGCCTGTTCTTGCTGTACTTTCCCACAGGCCCTGTACTAGCATTGCTATATTTCCTGCTGCACACACATTGTGTTGAATATGCATGGGAATGTTGAATATTCCCTGGGTCTGTATGAGGTCCTTTTTGTTAGCCTACGAGAAGTGTTAGGCTACTAAATAGGGTAGTGTATATTGACATTGAATCTGCTTCTTTGAATTCTGTGCTCTAATAGCGTAAACGACCTAATCTTCGCGTGGACCTAATTTTCGCAAATATCGCGATTTGATCAAGTTCACAAGAAATTGGTAACGTGAATAAGTTGCCCTATGGACATGAATACATGCAATGTCACTCACGGTGGTGAAAGTTTGTGCCCGCGAAATATTCCCGAAACTGGCACATCGCTAAATGTCGAGCTCGCAACAATAAAGTTGCTTACAGTACTTGTTAATGATAGCTATGGCCACACGTCCACATTACTGAAACTGCTCAGCAATGTGACAACCAATGATTAATTCAATCAAACCGTTTAGCATCACTGGAAAGTTCTGGTTTAGAGTGTTGGTAAATGTGGGACTCTTGTAACGTTTCTTCTTGATATGAATGTGTGTGCCCTCATGAAGAATACTTCGCGATTCTGAATTGTCCAAATTTGTTTATGATTGACCTCAAAATAAATCATTCTGAAGCACTTTTTGTTGTTGCCTGAAAATACTTCGTAAACACGTAAACAAACGGAAGCATTATGACAAGAATAGATATCTTAATATTTCACAGCAGTAAAGACAATAATTTTTGCTCTTTCCTGGTGTGAAGCCTCTAATCAGGAGCATTTGATTTGTGCCATCAAGAGAAGCCGCGCGACAGCACGCTCGGCAAAAAAAGCGCCGGAAACGAAACCGAAACTGAAACCACCGGAACCGGAATCAAGAGTAAGCTTTTCTCATCGACCGTTTGGCGCGCTAGTTGTTTACGGGACGCTGGGTCCTACGGCAGTGTCCGCTCTTTACCTTGTGTAGATTACTCTATGCCGTGAGTGCCAACGATGTAAGAAGCCTCCGACGAAGCCAGCAGGACTCCTTCAGCCGATACGTGCACCGACTACGCCCTTCCAGCAGGTCGGAATGGATTTACTTGGGCCGTTCCCAACATCGACGCAAGGAAATCGGTGAATTATCGTCGCGACCGATTACCTTACACGACGCCGAGACTAGCTGATAGCGGGCGCGAGAGTCCCACCAGCCGCATTAACATCAGCAACATAGCGGCGGCCAAAGAGCGTTTTTTGGAAAGGTGTAGAGGAAAAAGAAAAAGTAAAATAAAAAGAAAAGCGCTCTTGTGTATTGTGGACACAAAAAATATGCCTGGTGCGAAAAAGTAATTAGGTAATTTAATTACAATTACCGTCGCTGGAGTAATTCATTACATTACTAAATTACCTGCTACAACAAGTAATGAATTACATTACTAATTACTGGAACAAGTAATTAAATTACTGTAATTTCATTACAGTAATTACATTACTGCCAGCTCTGCTTATCTACCGTGCGTCACTATCTCGAAAGTTCGGCAAAGAAGGTTCGAGCGTCGCGCGCTCGGGGCGAGGATGAACTGGCACTTTTGAGAATAACAAAGCAAAGGGAAAGTTACGTCTGCTGCGAGAATGACCGGGAATCTTCCAGAAAACCGTGACCAAGCCTTGCCTTCTCGGCTCTGCGGGCGGCAATATAGTCACTACTTCAGCTTGGGCAAGTCGGTGAATCATGTTAATACTTCACAGAGCACAAAGGACAACAAAGTTGATCAACCGGGTACTACACATAATCCATCTAGCAGGCCTATGCTAGCGGCTTCGATAATTTCTCTAGTTAGTTTGTCCTTGCTTCGTCCCAGTACCGTGCAAATGTTTAGAAGGGGGAAGCATCCACAATCTCTGCAATGAATGCCCAGATGACCTGAGTTAGTGTTGATGGCGTTGTTGTTATGTTCTCGCTCTCAACTCAATGCAAAGATTGTGCATGCTCCCCCATGCACAATCTTTGCATTGAGTGCCCAGATGCGCAGAAGGATGAACAAGACCAAGTTCGTTTCCTGTAGAAGGAGTGATCTATTCTTTCCCTCGTACCTGTGGGAAGTGTTACGTTGGGCAGACGGGGCGCTGTTTTAACGATAGACTTCGAGAACATAACAACAACGCCATCAACACTAACTCAGGTCATCTGGGCATTCATCGCAGAGATTGTGGATGCTCCCTCCTTCTAACACTTGCACGGTACTGGGACGAAGCAAGACCAAACTAATTAGAAAAATTATCTAAGCCGCTAGCATAGACCTGCTAGATGGATTATGTGTAAGTACCCCGTCGATCACCTTATTGAAAAAAGAGTTAGATTATTTAGAAAAACCTCCTTAGTGACTTTTTCTGTTGTCGGACTTGATCTTATTCTCTTTCACTTTTTTCTTTCTTTTTTGTATTTTATTTTCTTGTTTTTTTTTCTGATCTTCTCTCCTTTTCCTTTTCTTTATCTTTTTCTTTTCATTTTCTGTTCTTCCTTTGGTAATGTTTTTCTTTTTTTTCTTTTTAGTGCGTAAG